CCCGGAGATATATAAATCCGCCTTCCTGATTGATATACGTTTTTCTCATTTGGCAAGATATAGATCCTAGATATATTCTCAGAAGGTGTAATTTATTTAATATTCTAACGTATACTATTCTATCCAACATCTCTAAACATCTCTAAACATCCACTATAATATATACCGAAGCCTCGTAGTAACCCCATAATAGTAAACCACCCCCTACCCCCCAATTAATCCACCCTACAAATCCGCACATTAGCACTAACCCAAAGACCTAACATATAGCCACTTGTACTCCCCCAAAATGTCCACCGACCCCCCAATCCAAATCTCCCAAACCCCAACAGGCATAACAACCATAACCCTCAACCGCCCCAACCGTCGCAACGCCGTAGACCCCGCAACCGCAAAACTAATCTACGAAGCCGTCACAGCCTTCGAAGACGACACCACCCAAAAAGTCCTAATCCTCTACGGCGCCCACGGCACCTTCTGTGCCGGTTTCGACTTACACTCCCTCGCCTCCAGCCCATCCACATCCGCCGCTCTGGCCGGCGGCGAAACCTTCAAAGATGGCGTAGACCGTCAGATAGGTCCCATGGGACCCTCCCGGCTGACCATCAAAAAGCCAGTAATAGCGGCGGTGTCCGGGTACGCTGTCGCCGGAGGGTTGGAGTTGTCGTTACTGGGGGATATAAGAATCGCGGAGGAGGATGCGACGTTTGGAGTGTTCTGTCGTAGGTTCGGGGTACCATTGATCGATGGCGGGACGGTCAGGTTGCAGGCTATTGTGGGGTTAGGGAGGGCTTTGGATATGACATTGACTGGGAGACCTGTGGATGCTAATGAGGCTTTGTCGATGGGACTTGCGAATAGGGTTGTTCCTAAGGGGAAGGCGTTGGAGGAGGCGGAGAAGATTGCGAATCAGTTGTTGGGGTTTCCGCAGGAGTGTATGAATGTTGATCGGAGGAGTGCGTATAATGCGGCTTATAATGCTAAGAGCTTTGAGGAAGCTATGAAGTTTGAGTTTGAGAATGGGGTGAAGGTTATTAGTGAGGAGAGTGTGAGTGGGGCGAAGAGGTTTAGCAGCGGGGTTGGGAGGCATGGGCAGTTTGGGGAGGGGAAGTTGTAGGAGATTTTATATATATACTTAAGTATATATATTATACTGCTGCCTTTAGCTCTCCGCTTTGTGTATATATTTGGATTTATCTTATAAGCACTAATGATATGAATACGATACGAATGGCTTGTTTCGAGAGTAGAGACGCCAATGGTATTAAAAACGAACTGACTATGACATGTAAACTAAACGAATAACAGAATAAAAGAAGAAAGAACTCCAGAATAAAAGCTTGAAAAGAATGCTGCGCTGCTATAGAAGGACTGTTTTACCTCCCCTTTCTTCTCATCCACCGGCCCATCCACGATTACTAGAACCAGTAACGTAGGATACCCGTGCAAACCGATCACAACTTCGGCGACGGCAATAACTTCCTCTTACTCATATAATGCGGCAACTCCTTCAACCCAACCCTGCTGTCCTTCGGTTCTCCGGTATCCTGTCTCTCGTCCAAAGGAACATAGTCCCTTCTCTTCTCGCCGACGTACAGTTGTCGAGGTCTGGCAATCTTGTTTGTGCCGGAGTCGATCTGTTGCTTCCAATGTGCGATCCATCCCGCGACTCTTGGAACTGCGAAAAGGACCGGGAAGAAGTCGAGGGGGAAGCCGAGGGCTTTGTAGACCAGTCCTGACCAGTAATCGACGTTTGGATACAACTTCTTTTCTTGGAACCTATATTCGTAGTCATACCGAGTTAGCTTCCTAGCCGTAAACTATCTTCAAATATATATATATGTGAAAGGGGGGGACTATACCAAGGATCATTCAACGCCGCATCTTTCAAGGCAATAGCAACCTCAATCAATGGTTCCTTCGCCCCAATGATCTCAAACACAGTATCCGCAACCTGTCTAATAATCTTACTCCTCGGGTCCGTATTCTTGTAGATCCTGTGACCGAATCCGAACAACAATTGTTTTCGACTCTTCACCCCCTCGATGAAAGCCGGTACTTTGTCAACAGTACCGATCCCTTGAAGCATTCGGATCACGGCTTCATTCGCACCACCGTGGAGGGGTCCGTAGAGTGCGCAGGCTGCGGCGGCGATGGCGCTGTAGGGGTCTACGAGGGAGGAGCCAACGTGGGTCATTGCGGCGGTTGAGCAGTTCATTTCGTGCTGCGGTTGTATTAGTCCCATTTGTCTCTTCTTTCTCTCCAGGCGAGATAAAAGAGGGTTGAGTGACTTACGTCGGCATGGAGGACGAAGAGAACGTCCAGCGCTTTGGCCAATCTAGGGTCTGGAACGTAGGAGCTAGGCTCGTTCATATGGTCCATCATGAACAACATATTTTCCGTATAGGATAGATCAGACCTCGGGAGGACTATTCCGCAAATTCCGATTAGCTCCGATGACAGACAGAGAAGGGAGCATAAGATAGGTAGTACTGACCAAAAGGTCGATTGATCCTGATTCTCATAGCATTAGCCGCCACCGTAGTAGCTTTACCCAAAATCCTGACAATCTGTTTGTTCATAGCCGCTTTGTCGTTTATATATAGGTTCTGGCCTTGTAGCGCTGGGTTTGCTTCCGGTGAAAAAGCGGACATGGCGCTGAAAGTGGAAGCGAAGATGGCCATCGGATGGGCATCGTAACGGTGGGATTGCATCATACGGGATAGATCGTCTGAGAGGAAAGTATGGTGCATGATTTCCCAGTGCCATCGCTCGGATTGTGGTTTGCTGGGGAGTTCGCCGTAGATGAGGAGGTAGGCGACTTCCAGGAAGTCGGACTTTTCGGCGAGTTGTTCTGGGGTCATACGTTAGATTGTCTTCCTTTTTTTAAAAGATATATCGATACTTTAAAGGTGGGGCTAGAAGATATTGGGCAAGCTAGGAGGAGGAGGAGGAGGTTAAATGTACCAATGGGATAACCACGATGCATCAATGTGCCCTTCTCGCCATCGATGTATGTGATCTTGCTACTCAACGCAGCAGTATTCATGAATGCGGGATCGTAGATTCTGAGCCCGGACGCAAAGTCATCTTCGTCTCGGTGGGATGGATTCGAGGAATCCTGAGGCGCTTTGAGGGCTTTGAAGGCGGTGGCGGGGATGCTGTTGTGGGTTATGGGGATATCGATGGTTTTACCGGTGCGGTTGTCACGGACTGTGATTGAGTCGGAGGGACTGGAGCTTGAAGGTTTAGATTAGCTTGGTTATAGCTTAATTTATATGGTTTGACAGTAACATGTGAGAGTTACTGCAAGGAGAGGAGGAGGAGGAGGACTGACGTGGATTTGGTGCCCGCCATGTTTGAATATGTTTGAAGTGAGAGTGGATGTTACACAGGAGGACCGGATGAAGCTGGAGAAAAGCGTGTTGGAGATGACGTGAAGTCGCGCGACAGATCGGGTTCAGATCAAGTTACACAACCAGCTCTTGCCCGGTTCAGAATATGTGGATATGGAATGGTCTACAAAGGAGTATTATCGAGGAGAGAAAAGATAAAAGGAAGACCTCTTGTCCGTTGTTTTATTACATTACATTACATGACATATTTCGGAACCTCTGGCTTTCGTGCGCGTGCTGCGCCGGGAAACTGCCACCCTCACTTTTACTTCTTCTTTGACCAAACGGCGGTACGAGGTTCTCGGTTGGTTCTCCAAAGTCAGTATCTGGGGCAGGGAGGGACAGGGGGGTAAATGGCCCGGGGAAAGCGCAGGTCTGCGGTGGGTCTGATGACGGTATTTCGCATGTGAATTTTTAGGCCGATGGAATGTGTCTCATTCCGTTTCGGTGGAACGGGATTGGCTGGGGGTTTTTGTTGCTTGGCTCCCTCGGCTGAGGGGATTCACGACAGAGCGTGCACTGGGACGGGGACGGATGGAGGTCGACGTCCTGCCATGTGCTGATGATATTCGATATTGCATATATGTCATATCTGTTCTGATCGTGCTGAAGCCGGGATTTAGTTTGTATGTACAGAGTATTGGATCGTGAAGTCAGTAGCACTAATCCCGATGCAAACCATCCAATCTACAACATTTCAACGCAGATGCATTTTCTATCGATATCGGTATCGACATCAGTATCGGTATTATATCCTGTAAAATAGAGTGGAGATAGCCGTCGGTTCAGCAATGCTCCGCTTCTCCTTCATATGCTCAGACATTAACCGATTTTATATTATGTATTATATTATATATTTACCATCTGACAGATGGCCCTTGCATCAGGCCACCTTCCTCCATACGGTTATATAATCATAATCATAATTATATATACTACCCACCGCATTCCTCTCCCCGCATTTATTACATAGTAGTATACAATAACAATCCGAGACATGAACGAATTAAAGGCTGTATCATCACATCTACCCTGATCCAGTCCGTCAGAGCTTAAGACATCTCGCACGACTTATACCTATAAATTTTTAATTAGTGTGGGGGTCCTCCCGTGGTAACCGGACATTAGTGATGAAGTAGGTAGGTAGATAGACACCGCTGTCACGCGATCCATTCTTCACATTCTAGAATTGGTTTTATGCCACCATCCGCTTGGTCTGCAAATTCCTTATGGAGCAGTTAGCTGAAGACACTAGTCTACAGAAAGTTGCCAAATAGTTAATTAAAAATAAATTCCGTGGTTATGCATAACTTCCGCTCCAGTGAACGGATCCAGGCCCGCCAGATCCGCGGAATAATCATCACTTCGGGTCGTGCCGCTGTATAAACCCAGAACCTACAAACTAAGCTACCGGATGATCCACATCTCTCTATAGATCTAAAATAGCTGTCTACAACGGGCTCTAATCCAAATCCGGATTAATTTTACACATAGGTTACCTTGATATCCAATACACACGCTTCAAAATACTATCACCGCTCACGCCAAAATCAACATTCAGCGACAGCATCATTAATGACACGAAAAAAAAAAAAAAAAAAAGTCTGGCGAAGGTCGGTTTCGAACCAACATCCCAGTCATTATTAACCAGAGACGATCCCCGCGGTCTTGCCACAAGGATCGTCTCCGGCCCTTCAACGACTATGTTCTACCAATTGAACTACTACGCCGCTTTCTGATATCATTCATGAACCCATTTCCACTATTTAGCCCGGAAACCTTTAAATTCGGACACTACATCGTATACTAGTCTCGTAGCATACAACGCTTCAAAAGCAACATGATCAGATACAACAGTTCAATGACTCAAAATATTTAAAAACGTGGGTACTATGCCGAAACAAAAGCTACCCATACATTCATCCATACATTCCCTTCCGCTCTTACCCATAAATCCTCGCCCGAACTTTCCACTAGCGGTCCTCCTTGTATATATCCACCTGCTCCAAAATCTAAAACATCGATAATCCATACCCCAAATATACGTATCTACCAATGGACCCCAAAAGGCTGGGGGACTGTATACATATAGTTGGCTGGGGAGGAAGTAAATACATTAGAAAGCGGGGTTGGTATGTTCGCTACCGTACCCGAGATACGAAAGCGCCCATTTTTCGATTCATACCCCGGTATTGAATTTTCAGAATAATTTACATCCTTTGATTCCCTTCATTCCTCGCCATTATGCCGCACTGGCCTAAAATCTGGGGGGCGTTATAACCTTAAAGGTATATATAAACTACAGAAGTTTTTTTTGCTAGTAGAAAGGTTTAATCTGATCGTCTCATCCTCAGATCAATATATACATACACCGATATAAAAACTTCATTGGGAATCTCACTACCGTCAAGAAATCTCCAACCCCTCATAATTATAACAACCACTTACCAGAAAAAAAATGTACTTTCCACTCATCACATTCCTCACAATCATCACCAGCGTCATCGCTACCCGCAAAAACCCAGAAATCCCAGCAAGGCTCACCATCGGCGAGATCTACAACCGCTGCGACTTCGGTCTTTCCATCTGTTGTTGCAGTGAGGATGCCCTTGACAAACCCACCGAGGGTGGTTGTTTCCCGCTGACGGAGCCGGAGTGTAAGTGTTAATTTTTTTCCCTTCCTTTTCTTTACTTTTAAAAGATTAAAACAAAGAATAATTCTTCCCGGTATAAATAGTAAGACCCTTCCGCTTCGTTGAAATATGCGGCGGCCTCCCAGCTTGCTGCTCCACATCGGCTTTCGATCCCAATGATCTCGTCACCGTAAGTTTCAGTACCATTTTGTGAAATTTCCCGGGCAGAATTTATTTCAGGAATACTAACATTACACCGCTCTTCTCAGGATTCCGGATCATGCGAAGAAATAACAATCAGAACAGAGCATGTTATCTTCGATAAGTCCTGAGATTTAAGTTATGGGGGGGGGGGGGGGGGGGGGTTGTTATAAATTATAAAAGTTGGAAACTGTGGCTGTCAGATTGGTATCGATGTATATACGTATACACTCATAGTTGAATCGGTTCTACATATCAATGACAGCTAGGACTAAAATTAAAAGTGGAATTTTTGCATTTAAACTTTTTTTACTTTTTTTCTTTGATTTAAGTATATTAGTCTTGGGAAATCGGACCTGGCTCGACCATTTACAATGGTCTTGTAGTCTAAACGTACCCAAGTATCATAGCAGGCTCTATGCAAAAACAACGCCCATAGCAGGTGGCGAGGCTGGCGCCGCGAAACAGTACTGATAAACCATGAACTAAAACGAACCCCAAAGCAGGGCGCTACCAGTTGGATCTATTCTATAACAACTATCATACAGAAGTAATGAACGCTAACGGATCATGAGGTATCAAAAATATAACGAATGCAACCCCTCCCTTCCCGCTCCCAAAACCCACTATTCACATACTCCCCACCACAAACGCCACCACAGTAACCACAAAACCCCACCCTCCTCCCAAAAGCCTCACACCCTTAGTTGCTGCGCTCAAGAAATATGCCGCGCCCAGGTAACTACAAGTGATATCACCATCATCACTTCTCCACCCGTAACTGTTCTCCCCACGACTTCCGCTAGGACAGCTGAACCCCAAACTCGCCGGGCAACTCTGTATCAGACTCCAGCATAGATCCATACAAGGTTTAATCTCCTTATACGGACCGGGGCTGACGACCTCATCGATCAGAATATTTCTACTCGCGGCTTTGAACGCTGGCGGTGTTGACCCGTCGTCATTAGTTACGTTCCCAAGTTCAATATCTACAATACGCCCGTCGTCCAGGAAGACCTTAGTAGGGCCGTTATCTTCTCCATCGCCACGGTTCCGTTCCGCAAGAAATGTTGCATTGCTACTGTAATCGGCACAACGGGGGATCGTGGTCGCGCATAGCCACGTCTTATAAGCTTTATCGCAATCTTCGCAGCTTCTGAGGTGGGAGTATTCCCGATCAGACGTAGTATTGCACTGGACCTGCTGTAGCGAGTACGAGAAGTTGGCATACCAGGACGATGCGTAGGTATCATAGAATTTGGCTAGATGGGGCATATTCTGGAATATTGTGTCGTTTGTTGGGACGGCGTATGCCACTTCGGAACAAAATTGGAGGTCATAAATGACTCGGCAATTTCCATCTAGTTGCATACTGTTAGAACGAAACAATCTAGTGAATGAGGTCTTCGAAGAAAAGGCACTTACCCGACTTGGTTGTAAGGTTGACCGCAGAATAGATGAAGCCTCCTTCCGTTTCATTATTCTGCTTTGCCAACCAGACGTTGTATGTCGTATTCGGCTTCAACCCTTTCAGGTATATCTGCTCCTTGACTTTATTTCCCAGGCCACGCCTTGTCATCGAAATATCACCGCTTGAAGAACGAAGGCTCGCACGGGCGGTGAGCCCGCACCAACTTCTTGTTAGACCATTTACAGCGGTATCATTGGCCGGATGGGCGAAGAATGTATACGGTGGCCTGATAGCCGACACGTTGGCAGATTTGTCATACGCAGTCTCATTGCCTGAGATCAAAAGTGCGTTGGAAGAATCACTATCTATGAGATAAAGATTCTGATACTTATACCAACCATAGTATTGCCGTTTCGTCGAGGCGATTATTTCGTAATTCCAGAAACCGGTAAAGTTTGCCATGTCGGATGTAATGTTAGGAGCGACAACCGAAAGGTAAATCGTTGAACTGGCATTGAGGGTGACGTTGGCGAAGCCTTCGATCACAGGGACGACAATCTGCTGGCGAGGGTTTGCAGACGGGCCGGGAGACTTGTTCGTAGTTGCATTGGATGCGTAGAGGGTTAGATTCGGCGGGACGGCTCTGGTATTGTTGGGGGCCGTGGGGCCCCAGCAGGTATTGAAACCGAAATAGACGGTTCTAATACGACTGTTCCTCTCGATATCAACGAAAACATTGGAGGAGCCAGTCCGCCCAGCATCGGAAAACAATTGCTCGGTGTCTAGCCCCCAGAGTTGCACCTCGCCGGGTTTGATGTTGAAGTTACGATATTGGTCCTTGACAAGCGAATTTAGGAAAAGCCCTCCTTGACGTTCTTGCAGAATTCCTGGCAATAGATCGTGAAGTTCGGCTCCCTCAGGAGAGGTTGTATCCGCCCACGACTGCGACTCTTCGGTGGACTGTATAAACGGATTGAAAAATGTACTGACCCCCTCGAGAACCGGTGATCGATCATTCTGTGAAGTTTCGGAGGAGGAGGGGTGGTGATGGTGTATTCGATGGCCACTGCCAAGATCAGGTATCGACTGCGAATATGCTGACGGCGGTAGTGTCCACAATACAAGCAGTGTGATCATAAGCACTGTTGCAAACGACGAGACGGCGACACGAGACTGAAGTGGCGTCAGCCGAGGACAAGATATACTGAATGCCATAGCTTAGTCCGTGGTGTATATGCAAGCTCCCACAAAGCCGCAGAGTGGAGATGGGTCCTTGATATGCGCCCCAGCCGGCAGGTTGGAGCCGAAAATGCAGGCTAACCTGAGAGGGTATTATTCGGCAGCGAAGAACGGGCCTTTCTCAGGCAGTCGGGCTCAACCAGCGAACCGACTTGTTAGAAAACCCGGGATTGAGCTGCAGCTTGGGGAGGCGATGGCTTCGAAGGAGGAGAGGAAGGCGCAACAGCTGACACTCCTACTCATTGTGACGGAGAAAGGTCGGACGCCCGAGGACACTGTGGGCCGGGAATGGAATGGTGGAAGTGGACTCGTATAAGGCAGACTTTCGACGTTTGGAGGCCGGGTTGGTGTTGCTGAGACGTCGTCAGGGGTTCCACCAAAAATAGCAGCTGGCTGTTGCCCAAACGGGCAATCCCAAAATACCACGCAACGCAGGAATATTGGTTGTGAATATAATACCCGCGCAAAGAAACTCGCTGGAGAGCACGCGGGGGGGAGCACGTTAGTTCCGCATTGGGTTCTATGCCATGAAGAAAATGCATGAACTTTCACATGAGGGGGGGTCTGCTTTGTTATATTTCTGGAATCCTTGAAGTCCTCACTGCACTGAGGAGAGAAAGTAACAGGCAATCAATCAAAATGCATCTATCTAGCAGCTACTGCTCCGCCGCCCTCGCCCTCCTCCTCCAAGCAGCTTTTGTCAATGGCTATGCCCTCCGCCTTGAACGAAATGTAACAGACGAAAACAGCATGCTTGAACGGGAATGGTACAACCTAAAAGCCCATCATGGTGTAAAAAAATGCGCAGCAGCCTCATCACTCGACGGCTTCCCAGTATCGGGATTCTCGATTACCAATTTCGGTCCCGAAGACGCCGGATTCAGGGAGCAAGAAGCCGAACCGAAAAGATGGAGAGACCCGCTCGGATGGATGGGCTTTTGGAAAAACACAAAGTGTCAGGGTCTCCCAAACATCATAGTGCACTTCTACCCGGTCCCGTATACCAGACAAGCTATATACTTCCCCAAACTCATAGACTTCGCTGAAGACATTGACTTAAGTGATGTCTCATTCGCCCGCTACGGCGATATTCCCTTCGGAAGCATTTGGTTCTATGGTAACAGGCAGATCCCCGAAGGATCCGTCGCGGTTCGCAAATCACGGTCTCGGGGCGCCGCCACCCCGACATATGAAGACGAGTTTCACATTTTCCCCGACGCCGTCAGGGTTCTCAATGTCGGTCCGA